GACATCAACCCACAGATTCAAGAATTCCAATGAAAACTAAGTAGAATAAGTAAAAAGAAATAAAGTTACAAAAATCATTAAAAATTGTTTAATATCAAAGACATAAAGATATTTAAAATAGCCAATCCCCTAAAAGACACACTTTAAATGAGCAGTAATCAGCCATCCATTCACTTTTCCATACCAGCATTGGATGATAAAAGACACTGAAATGACAAGTTCCATGAGGTGAAAAAAAATAATAATAATTGCCCTGAATTGTATGGATAGTGTAAATAATTTTCAAAAGTAAAACAAAAATAAAAAATAATAAGTTTTAGAAAGAAAAACTAAAATAGTTTGGCAACAACAAAGTTTTTTTCATTGAAATTTTATATGATTTATTACAAGTAGAAGTAAACTGCTTCCACATGGAAACTGCAAGAAAAAAATGAAAAAAAAAGTGGGTAAAAATATGATAAAGCTAATCCAATATTGATTAAATAAAGCATTTACAATACTCCCATCAAGTTTTAAAGCAAAGACATAAAATGTAACCATAATGTTTGCACCCTCATAATACTCTGAAATAAAAAAAATAAATAAATAAAAATTAAAAAAGGAATAGAATTAATATACACGAAACATTATTTATAAAATGGGAAAGAGGTAATTAGAATTAAAATACTTTATGCCACAAGACTCATTCAGATTAACCCTCTAACACTGCGGTCCCCAACCCCTGGGCTGCAGAGTGGTACCAGTCAGTAGCCTGTTAGGAACTGGGAGGCACAGAGGAGGTGAGTGGTGGGCGTGAGCCAGGGAAGCTTCATCTGTATTTACAGCTACTCCCCATCACTCCCATCACCACCTGAGTTCCGCTTCCTGTCGGATCAGCAGCCAGCAGCGGACATTAGATTCTCACAGGAGTGTGAACCCTACCATAAACTGTACATGCGAGGGATCTAGGTCGCATGCTCCTTATGAGAATCTAATGCCTGATGATCTGAGGCGGAGCTGAGGCAGTGATGCTAGCACTGGGGAGTGGCTGCAAATACAGATTATCACTAGCAGAGAAGTTCAACATGTAATAATAACAGAAATAAAGTGCCCAATAAATGTAATGCGCTGGAATCATCCCGAAACCACCTCCCTCCTGCCACCCAGTCCCTGGAAAAATTGTCTTCCACAAAACCGGTCCCTGGTGCCAAAAAGGTTGGGGACTGCTGCTGTAACTGACACAAACTCATAATATAAACTAAAAAATTGGCAGCTCATCTGTAAAGAAAACTGGCACATGAACTCAGAATTACTGATTTAAACTACATAGCATATTCAACTCTGCAGGATAATGGCTTATGTACCCTCTAGGAACATAACAGAGATAGAGTGCGCGCGCGCACGTTTGTCTCTGTGTGTGTATGTGTGTGTGTGTTTGTGTGTGTGTTTAACAGTTTTATTGATATGTAATTCAATTCAATGTAATATTATAAAATTCACCCATTTAAAGTGTGCATTCCATTTTTTAGTATGTTCACAGAGTTGTGCACCCATCACCACAATCAATTTTAGAACATTTTCATCACCCAAAAAAGAGACTCCATAGTCATTACTCATCTCTATCAAATCTTCCCACCTATTCTCACCTGACCCCTTAAGCCTCAGCACCAGGCAATCACTTATCTACTTTCTATCTCTCTACTTTTGCCTATTGAGGACATTTAAAAAAATATTCCTCCTATCTCACTGTAATTATCCTGGAGAGACGTTGGCCAAAGGAGATAGAATTTTTTTTACAAAGCTTTGTTGTATTGAGCATCATCTTATGGCAGGTTGGTAAGTTTCTGTCAATCCTTGAAATGGATCAAGGTGCTCATAATTATCATCTAGCAATACAGGTGAAGAAACCTGGTGTACCAAAGAAAGTCTGCAATCTTGTCACTCATTTTTGTTTTACATTTTTAAAATATTTACATTTTAAAAAAATACTGAGTGATAAATTATGGACAACTTCCTAAAATTTTTTCTTTTACTTACTTCTCTAATATAACAATGGGGAAAGCCCAATCAGCTTACTTAATAAGTTATATATTTGGGCATTACTTTATAGTCATTGGATAGCAACTAAAGTTTTTGAGCAAGGAAGTCATATAATTGATACAACTATGTTTTTGGAAAATAATTCTGGAAGTGATCGATATTTTGTTTGGTAAGTGTATAAACCACTTAGCCGTTGAACTTGAAAAGCAAGTTCAATGTACCAAATCCATTGATTGCACTTCTCCTTTCCTGCTTTGGAACACCTGTATGATACATATACACACACACACACATATATATCAAGCAAACATATATATACACACACACATCATACATACACATACATACACACATATCAAGATAACTTTCTTTAAAATACAAATATTCTTGTCCAATAATATTTATCAGTAAATTATGCTGGTTTGATTTTGTTGGTCTTCTGACTTCCAGTTACTTTCAATAAGGATCCATCATAAAGAAGAAACTTTTATTTTTACATAAAGTCAATCAGTCAGCTTTTCTGTAATATGTATTATTAAATTTAAATTTATTTATCTCTATATAACGGCCACACAAATATAAGTGCACAGATTCTACAAAAATATGCAAAGTCATGGAAAAATCAATGCTTTACAATTTAAGTAACAGTTTTGAAAAGAAAACATATCACTATTGTTTAAAATGAAATATCATGAAATCAAGGAACACTTAAAAGCAGCCATTTTGTTCACTACATTTATAGATCGACCTCTATATTGTTATATAAAGTAGTGTTTTTTAAAAGACAAACTATCAAGAAATATAATACAGCAGTCACAGTTTGATGAGTCTGAAACGTGTACTTCCAATTGAGAGATACAATTGCAAACAACAGCCTGCACAAAGGAAACTGAGAAAAACTGACTGAGGAGGTACAATAGAATTGAGTGTACCTTTGGAAACTAGAGCTGTAATCCGGTTTGTAAGAAAATAAAGAATGGAAGTATTGACCTAAACTCCACTGAATCACAAAAGCCTAACACAATACAACACAAGTGACATCCTTTTCTCAAAGAGTCGCGAGACTCATTGAATCTGGCGATTCAATTACCCTCTCAACCTGGAAAGAATCCCCCTTCTGTGTTGAGGTCCACTGGCAGAGGTATGTGAGACAGCCCACATTGTACATAGTCAGTAAATACCTAAAAAGCCGCAGGCTGTAAAGAACAAGTACCTTTGACCCTTTATGATTGCTACAGTAATTTTTCAACAAAACATGAGTACAATAGTTTTTAAAATGACTTACAAAATATTTTATTTTGAATTAAATATCTTCGAATATCTTATATTTATATGGAAATCTGTTTAAATAAATACCTATGCACATGCTTCACTAGGTAGTAAGAAATAGGAACATATTAAGGAAATAAAAAAAGATTTTCCTAAAATTGAAATGATTCTGATCTTTCTTAGACATTTTATAAACTTTACAAATAATCCCTTTTCATCTTTTTTTCCTATAAATTTGGATAGACATTAAATAGAGTGTATACTTATTAGAATTACTAAATAACTACTGAATTTTTAAATATCTAGATAAAATTTCACTATCATGGATCTTCCAAGATGGTCCATCATAATTTTCAGATCTCCTCATACTTGATGTCAGGAACGCTAACTTAGATATATTTTTAGTCAAAACACTTCAGACATCAAACTTGGAAATTCTGCTTCACTCTTTTTCTAATGAGATCATTATTAAACAAATAAGATTTCATAAATAATATTTTATCAATCACTTCTACAGTATTTACCATATTGGATGAATAGGGAAATTAATGACTTCACATCAACAAAATATTTGTTGAGGTATTACTACAGTAGATATTTTCATAGTATATGCATTATTTAGTTTATGCCACAACTTTGTAAGATAGATGTTATCTTTCCTTTGTAAGTAAAGAGGTAAGTAGTTTTCCCTGGGCTCCCAATAAGTATTCAATCTAAAAATTCAACCCAGATTTCAAATCCTAAGAAATCTGATCATGCAGATTAATGCTAAGCCCCTACACCTAAGTAATATTCTTTAATTCTTTGAAACATTAAAGCAATATAAATTTATAATTTCTCTCCCAAAATAGTTGTTTTAAATAATGGACATATTAAGAAATGATCTTCATATGTATTATAAAAAAGAACCTGGTTGTTAAAGGAGGACTTACTGTATCTTTACAGAATTTTAGAACATTAGTATTAAATCTCGTGAAAAGGATTCTCTGTATCCTTATCGGAGACTGTCTTCAGCTTTTGCACATCTGTTAAAGGATAAGACACTTGGGCAAGGGCTCTGAAGGCTTCTTTCACAAAAACAATAGGTACTATTAATTACTCAATCAATCAACCTTCCATTAGTGAATGAAAACTGGGTTTGCCTTACATTGATTTTAAAAAAACGAAAGATCAAAATTCCTTTTGTTCTACTCTTGCCCATATAAGCCTGTTTTCTATTTTTTTAGTTATAACTCTCTTATCCTCTATGAATTACATCAAATCTTAAATTAGCTGAATTTTAGTAAAAAGAGAAAAGACATCCCCTTGATATGTCTGTGTGTCAGACTTAATCCCAAAGAATATTTTAAAACAAAGATTTCACAAATTTGAAATGTGTTTTGATGATATATGACAGTTACTATCTATAAGTATTTAGCAAGCTTAAGCTGGAGTCAATCTATTCAGTGAATGCCCTGTATGAAAAATCATTAATTTTAACAGAAACTAATTTTAAGGCAAAAAAACAATGCATATGCATTTTCCTGATTATCAAATAATAGCTTGGAAGTTTTTAATTAATAAAATATGCCACATTTTCAAATGCCTATAGAAGACATATTTTTAATGCTTTAACCAAATTTAAGACAGGCTATATGCTTTAACCATAGGTAATAATATAAAACAAGAAATCCTGTCATTATTTTCATTTACAGAGCTAAGTCTGAATTTACCTTGTTTGCAATGCTTGTGATGAATGATTTAATATCTAGATTAGTTGGACAGCTCTTCTGACAGGGGGCATCTGCACATTTCAGGCACCTAGGGAACAAAATAACTGCATTAAGAAAACTTCAAAATAACTAAGACAATCTTCTGGATATTTTCTACCTTATACTCATTCAGAGTTAGTGTCTAGTAAGTATAAATAAAATTATTTTTAGGTACAAAACTTTTCTTAAGCAATAAATATATGGTATTTGTGTTTCACCTTTTGCACACCTCCTGAGATGCATACAATAGCGCCATTCTCGCTAAAAACTGCCCCTCCTCTCAGAGTTCCTCCTCCATTTTAAGAGGATCACACCTATTTAAGATACATTGTTCGCTCATTTACTTTATCATTCTTATTTTGATCCCTTACTATACTGACAATGCTTGGAACATGAAGTCTTTTATGATAAGATTTTATAAGTCTTATAGACCACAATTATTACACAAATGCAAGGGTGAAATCTTCCTTTTTTACCACTTATAATAAACTTTCTTCTTCATTTCTCCTCTTCCCTCTCCATGTCCTTGTCTCTCTCTCTCCTTCCTCCCCCTAGCCCTCATGCCCTTTCAACCTACACTACCATTCACATGGCAATTGGGCTATATAGCAGATTCTTCAAAGCATAGCCCAGATCTACTCCCTTCAGGACCAAAGAATTTATTCCCCCAGATGCCTTGGCTTCAGCTGCTGAAGAGAATGGATCAAACAAGGTCAGGCCCCCTTTCTAGTGCCCATTGGCCCACATCCAATTACAGATCAAGGAGTGATGTTAGAGGCCCAGTCCCCTTACCCCCATTTGGGGAACTAGTCTGCAGGAATCCAATGAAGCTTTTATTGTGATAGTCTACCCAATCCCGCTTGCTTCACTCTTCTACAGATGTTGACCTCCAAATAAACTTCCGGCATACTAATTAATCTCAGAATCTGCTTACTGGGGAACTGACCGGGGACATACTTAAACTTTAGTGCACCTAAGAACCACCTGGAAAGCTTGATATATGCCACAGATTCCAAAGAGGAGCCCCTGGTCAGTCACTGTTGGCCTGAGAATATGGATTTTGAAAAAAAAAAAGGCCTCTGAGGTGATTCTGATGTACTTGGTTAGAACCACGTTGTGACGACAATTCTGTAATCACTACTTCAGAACAACTGAAACCACTAGCTAGAATTTTCATTATATCATTAACTTATGTGTGTGTGTCTTCATTTATTCGTTCATTTAATAAATATTTAATGAGCTTTGTTACATGGCAGACCCCGGGATATGAGAGTATAAAAGTGTTGGACTAGACCACCATGGTTCTGTTCTCATGGAACTTGCAGTTTGAAGGAAGTACACATATTGCAAAGGCAGCAGTGGCCAGTGTGATCAGTGGGAATTTGGATGAAATACAGCATGCTAAGGGCACACACAGGTGGGACAATCGTCCCAGAAGGAGTCGGGAATAGCTTGTTTGGAGGAATAATACTTAAAAATGGAAGCTTGAAGAATGACTGGACATTAAGAAAGCAATGGTGCAGAGTCATTCAAGAGAATGACCCAAGAATAGAAAGAGTACGTGTCAGAGCCTGGAAAGAAGAGAATATGATACAGTAATGAACTAATGGAATTTGGTTTGGCATAAAGCAAGAGTGAGAGTAGAGAGAAATAAGGCTGAAAATAAGGCTCAAGAAAATACACTACTGTCACATGTGTCGAAAACCAGAATCATCCAAGAATTTCACTGAGAATGAATCCTACATTGTTCAGTGACAAAGGTGACTAGCTAGCTCATTTTCTGTCTACTTCCATGTGTAAAGATCTTGGTTCATTTCCTTCAAGAAAACAATACCAGTCTCCTTGTCATCCTTTTGTGAATAAGAGAGCCCTCTTCATTGTCTGATCCAATTTCTCAGTACCTAATTAATATCTTGTTTTTAAATCTGATCTCTTTTCTCTGGTTTGTGCCCTTGGCCTTCTCTCTAAATTAAATTTTACACAATGAGTACCAAAGGCTTTTCATAATCAATTGTCCTCTCTGAAATGTAGTCATTAAACCTCTCCCCTATCATTTCTCTAAATGCCATTGTTAGAGCCACATCTATCATTTAGTTGAATTCCTATCTGTTCATACTTAGGATTTTTTTCCTTGAAACACTGTCACTGAATTCAAAAAGAATTTCTTGAAAGTATGATTTGCAGCATACACTGCAAAACAATGCAAAAACCCCATAATGCATGCCCTATTTGGTTGTTGATGTCAAAATGAGATGATATTTATATGAGTAACCGTCATATAAATAAATACATTAAGCATTACCAGTGGTTTGAAAGGATTTTCTATTATGTGATAATATAAAATAGCTATAAATTTAGTAAATAATATGCCATTTTAAATATTTTCTCATTTATAAAAAAGTCATCTCAGTTTTAAATATCTGTCATTACACAGGAATAAAGATATACACATACACACAAATACATATACAAACATACGCACACACAGAGCATGAGAGCACATCATATGTATTCTGGTCAACCCTAATGAAGTCAGAAGTTTTCTGCTTTTCTTTTTTTCTAACACCCAACTTGAATAATAAGGCAATTAAAAAATAAAGTTAAAATGTCAGCAGGTATGAATGAACCAAATTAATGTGCAGTGTATTTTTCTGTTCTTCCAAAGAAATCTTAAATTCAACATAAACAGATTCACTTAACAGCACTGACAATGTAAGGATTTTTAGTTGTGGTTATTAAGCCTCTTTACCAAATAATTCTCCTTTTATTATTGAGCTAGTTCACAAATAACAGCTGTTGGAAATGTCAGATGTTAATGAGGCAGGGCCACGCAAACCTGAATTGTAGCATTCTTTTTTTCTTTGGTGTCATGAATATGCCAGAATGGGCAGACTCTGATAATAATACCATCTTGCAATTCTCTAAGCGCTCTGCAGACTAAAGTGCATCAGGCTGCCATTAATCCCACTTTTCACTCTGACAGCTCAGTAATTACACTACTGCTATAGCCAGGTAGTCCTAATAAAATATCAACCACTGCACTGGAATGTATACTGGTGAGATGTTTTATTAAACTTGGGGGGGGGAGTTGATCATCAAGTGACATTAATGTTGACCTATTTTTCTATTTGACAATAAATTATCCTTTGACCATGCCATAATAGATATTACAGAGTGCATTTACTGTACCAAATCAGAAAGGTACTGCATTACAATGATGTAGGCAAATGGTGTAAATAAAATAGCAGAAATGCATGTCAGAATGTTATTACCTAAATTGCTTTAAATGATTGATACCATGAAAAATCACAGACACAGTACTTAGGGCAATATGTCAACAATTATTATAAACCACTGTTCTACATAAATTTTTCCTTAGAAGTAACATTTAAATTATACTTGTTTTCATCTTCATTCATTTAATTCCCCTTTTACCTTTCAAAGTTATTCTGTTATAATGCAGTTTATTTTTAAATGCATTATAAGAGGCAAAATTTAATTCATAAAAACAATCATGTAACATTTTAATCACCAAATAATTACTACATTTATAGGAAGAGAAATGATTATTCTTAAAAATGAAACATCTTAGATATTTTACTAGTCATAAACTTTTTCCATTTCCATATTTATTAAAGAGAATAACAATGAATTTCATTAAAAGCAAAATATAGAATCCTTAAAAAATATGAATCTTTCATGATTCACCATGACCATAAAAAATATATGAAAACTTAAGTACTGCAACTTAAGGGACAAACACTATTAACGACATATTTATCTAGGATCTTCCTCTAGGGATAAAGAAACATGATTCCTCTTCTCAAATATCAATGAGGCTGGACAGTTTTACTCCATAGTACAAAACCAAAAATATTATAGTGAGTAATGAAATAAGCAGCATTTCATTCTTCACTCATCTGAGAACAGATGCCTGCTTCTTTTGTTGGTAACCATACATTGCAGTCGGAATTGTAACCTATGCTTGTTAAAGCATTTTCTACTCCATGAGCTTAAATGACTGAATTAATTTCTTTCTCAGTTAAAAAGGCAAAACACACAAACACACAAATCTACTTGAAAACTTTAAAACTCATAATTCATTGTTTTGGTTTTGCTTGATGTTGGTTTAATCAGGTTGGCACCGTTCATCAGGCTTGTACAATCTAAATTAATTTATATATATATATATATATAATGAAATTGGGCAAGTTAATATTTATACTAAAAATTAAAATATTGCCCTAATGTTAATATTTCACTTCCTCACATATTTGATGTTCAGTACCAACATTTGGAAGGTCCACCTAATTGAGGTGTAGCAGATGGATTCAGGACCAGCTTCCCTACCTTATAAGCACCAGTGTAGGTAAATACATAGTATAATATTCTTCCTCAACTCTGCAATATTCCTACTGAAAACTGGGCAGAATCAAGTATCAGGTTGAATGGAAGGAGTGTGAATCAAGAAACAGAGGTTGTGAGTGTCATATATGTGTATGAGTTCTACAGCTTTCATCCCTTGTACCCAGACTCTGTCATAATAAAAGGATCCAAGAAAGGTTGTTGGTCTCTTTAAAACATGATGGAACTAACTCCATATTCTGATCCATTAAATAGTCAAAATAGTCAAAACCATTCTCAGCTTCCAATAACTCTGTGACTATTTCCACTTCTGTGCTTCTCTTAATACTCCATTAACAGCCCTTTCTACATACTTTCTGACTCTGCTTCTCTGATTACACTTCAAGTTCTTATTGGCTGAGGGGCATTTGGAACTAACTTTGAATATTCTTAATATTCGTCTTAGCCCAGCTTCTACATTCTACTGAGCTGGAAGCTATGTAACATCATTAAAAGTAATTGGATTTCTAATGCTATGCACCATTCTGCCTTTTAATCACACTTACAATGTTCATGTGTTAAGATTTTTAATATATACTTGTATTTACAAGTTAATATCAAATACAATTTTTACATAGAGCTATTTATCTACTAGAAATTCCCATTACCACATGGGTGCTTCAGAACAATTCAAGAGATGCAAAT